AGTCTTGTTCAGATATTAGTCATGAATTTTAGCCTGAATGTGTTAAAAAAGCAATGAAATTGAGATAAAATAATGGTTACACACTTATCAGCTCTCATCTTTTTATTTGAAGAGTTTTCTGCTTTTTCCAAAATAAATATTTAATTCACTATAATGAACAGATAAGGTTAGCCTTGGGCATTGTGGACTCATTATTCTGTAATAGCTATTGAGTAAATATCGCAGCCAGCAACTATAACCAGCAGCAGTTTGGAGTAACACTTGTCAACTTGATTGTTATTTTATATGTGATTAAAAAAATACGTCACCTGATCTCAAACTTAAGGTTCCTAGGTTTAGTCCCGAGTAATACTTACATGTTTACACAACACTTCATATAATTTTGGAAAATTGCAACACATTGCATTGTCTGCTCTGTACCATTATTTTCTGCAAGCTGTGCAGTATAGCCATTTAAAAAATAACACGCATAATGTTTTCTGAATGCACTGTTTTTGCCCAATATGCCCAGAGGTCACAAAGTTTGAATATTATTGGACAAAAAGAACCCAACATTGGAAATAACTGGAAAGCTCTTGCTATATGGAAATGTATTGCCTGTTTCTGTTGTCTGATTTCCAAAGACATTTTTAATAACCTGCACACACATATATACATAACTGTTTTTCATGAACAAAGCAAAATAAAAATGCCAGCATTTCTTTAAAATCTAGCATACATCTTTCAATAACCCAGTACCCCTCACACCACAAACACCTGGATTGATGAAAGATTTCCACAAAATTTGCAGCTCTGACAAGAAAGTTTTCACATTTGTATCATAGATGAAAACAGAAGCGCACAAGCAACTGGTTTACAAATTTACCCTTGGAATTTTCTATATTTTGAACATGATATGTGCACCATTTTCTGCCAGAAAGGCTTTACTGCAGAAATGTGAAAAATTCTAAGAAAATTCTGAGAGTCCCTCATCTTGATGATATAAATTGATGCATCAAGATCCAGAATAGTCAATTGATGATGCCCAAATTATATGCTGGATGCATAAAGGGAATTCAGGAAAACCATGCCAAGAGATCTGCTGCTTCTGTACAGCTTTGTCATTACAGTAATTTGATCAGCTGATTTTGCATTGATTGATTGTCAATAATTGCCTCCACTTAAAAAAAAACATTCACTGTCAACCCCCCAAGCACACTCAACATACTGTATTACTTTATGCAAAATGTCATATAGCACTAGGGTTCATAAAGAAAGGTGCTACTATACATTGAGTGTGGGCCAAAAAAATGAATAGATATTTGACTTGAAATAGTGGTCCACAGACCAGCTCTGGTCTGCAGAAGTTTTTTGCCAGTCTGCAGGAAATTTAAAGCATAATACAGTAAATGCATTAAAAGTTGCAATGAAATATGTTATTGTTACATGGTGGCTTAGAAAGGCAATGGCAGTTAAAATTATATTATTTAAATAAAAGCTGGCTTTTCCCTTAACAACACTCAAGAATAATTTTCACGTGCTGCAATAAAGTATTTCCAGTTTTCCTTCAGGGAAACCATTTTTCAAGCCCAGCTTTCTGATTTTTTGAAGACATTGCACTACTGCTGCTTCACTGGTTCTTAACTTAATTTTAAAAATAAAAGTTTGGTTTGGAGAACTTTATGGGAGGTATCTAACAATCTTGCTATCTGCAAAACGTTTATGGAATGCTGCCTATGAAAATATGCCAGTCCACAGAAAATTGTATGAAAACTTGCCAGTGCATGTGTCCAAAAAGGTTGAAGAACACTGCATTCATTACTGGTCCTGCACACCATTCATCCCCCAAAATAACGCTATAGAGAAGTTGTGGGTTGACTAGATGTCACCCAAAGCACAATGGCACAAGAGTACAATGTGGGGTATGAAATAACACATTGTATTAAGTTATGAAACAGAAAGTACAAACATAACTAAAAACATAATTTGAAATAAGAACCTTCCACAAAATCAACCCTGAAGATAAGAATCTTCAGGAATCATTCCATCAAATAACAAGAATTAACAAGAATTGTTAACACAAAAATTAGTCACACCTTGGTGGAAAACCTTGGACAAACTTTCCACTGAGGAGGACCTGAACCTGAGCAAAAACATCACAAGAAGAAATCAGTCCTGCTCTGAACTTTGCAGAGACCAGAAAAGCTTTTGTGTGTGACAATTTCTGAACTTGACATTTGGGAAAGAACATAGTTTGTTGATGAGTTTGAAACCCTACCTCAGGCTGCAAACTGCCAATTGTGTCAACCACACTTGATTTTACTGAAAACCAGTGAGATCTCAGCTCTCAGGGACCCCCACCACATGCAGTGGTACTTATTGGGACCATATAATACAACTGCATAACTTTACAAAAGGAATTGAACCAGCTTTGATTTGGCTTTATTCATTGCTCACATCAACTCAATTTGCTACCAAGATATTGCAAGTCAAAAATTGGTTCACTCTTTTTTGCTCCACCCTGTATATGTACTGTATATATAGTCTCCAGCATGCTGTGAAGGACATGATTGAATTCATCTGCGGTTATTCCAATAAGTCATCTGCAGGAATTCAGCAAAAAAGACCAACAAGGCAATCCCATTCCCCACAAACAATATGTAGAATGCTCCTTGGAGATCATTCAGGTCCAGAGTCTTGGTAGCATCACTATGGGATTGTTCATCATTGATGTGGTCCACTTGATCCCCTTCTACTTCTCTGCGTTGCTTCAAGCCTTTCAGGAAGACATTGCTCAGTGTCCTTTCTGTCCAGTAGTAGAGTATTCCTGATGCATGTAGCTGTGAGATCCTGATGACAAAATTGCCAGAAAATATTTACTGCCTGCTTATATTGGTGCCAATAAAACATGACTGCGCCTACCCAACAATAACAAAGAAATACTGCACCTTAAAAAAAAACTGCAAAATTACTTGGAGAATTAATTGCTGTAATTGAAAAACAATTTAAATCTCTGACCTCACTCAGCATTGGTTGAGCAATTGATTTATTGATGATTGTCTGGTCAACAATATCATTTTATTTGCTCTCCAACATGAGACAACATTGCATAAACTGTCTAAAGGTGAGTTCATTTGGGGGCAGTGGTCCTTTATACCAGCCTATATGTATGAAGTTGCAAATTCATCAATAGATTCTTGATCTATTCCACCTGAGCCTTTATTGGATTTAACCTGTTTATATGCTTACCATACCAATTCCTTTGAAATTGAAAATGGTGTTGTTATATCCATATATTCCTTCTCTTTTTTTTTGGAGTTGATATACAGTACATAACTAGATAATACAGCCCCTTTGCTCTGCCATCATTACAATTGCTTCATTGCTACTATGCAGGCTACTCTGCCCCTTTATTGCGCATTGATACTTTCAATCTTGTAGGGTTTCTACTTGTGTCTTTTCTCTTTGCATTGCAAGTGAAGGTTCCTGCAGTTCAACACTTCAGCCCAGATGAGATTCACTCCACCTTTACACCAGATGCCACTTGGACAGTAATCAGGTGTATTCCAAATTTACCACAGGTAGATACATACCCTGCTTTTGACATCACTAGCTTGGACCTATTTGACACATGTGCAGTGATTCACTTGTATTTGTCTCTCTCATCCACCTGTGATACTTATTCTTGTGTATATTTTCTGTAATCCTCACTACCATATAGATTTTGACTATAGCAGCTTACAGTTGTTTGCTACCAGCTCCTGAAAACAGATTGCAGAGGGCCTACCTCCATCTTAAGTACTGCTACCTGCAGCATTCTTGTATCCCCTATTGCCAAATACCTTATTCCATGCAGACAAATTTCTACAGAAATCCATCACAGGTACCCTATCATCTACATTTGCCTGTGGTAAGTTGGAAACTCATAATTTCACCTCAATCATTGATTACCAAATGTTACTTCAAACCAGAGAACCAACCAGTAGTTGTTCTGCTTTTGGTAGCAAGATCTTTAAAAAGTGTATGAGCATGTGCTCTTTTTTCATGACAAACTTTTAAAGCAGTAGAATCTATAAAGTAACATCCAGTCTGCGTCTTAAGACAAAGGCTTTGGGTAAAGAACAATAAAGGCAAGCAGGCTCTGGGGATCAGCTTAATAAATCTATCATAGCTTACTAAATTTTCAAATTCCTTAGCATAGTATATTTGTAAATAAAGATAATAAGTTTTAAAATTTCGAAAACCTGCTGTGTGAAAAGTAATTAAAATTGTCATGATTTCACTCATGGTTGAGGAACATGTCCTTGTTGGTTTTTTAGATTTTGAGCCTGGAAGACAGTGTTTTTCAATGTATGGCATAAATTCTTTCAAGAATTCATCAATAGTGTAGAAAATCTCTACTAGTTTTTCTATATTCATAGTTAGCTCCTTTGTTAATTAGTTCTTTTAATTCAAATTCAAAAATACAAAGGAGCTTTCATTTTAATAGCCTTTTCTTACTGCCTAATCCCAAATTTGCATTATATTATGTGCTTATTTTTTGAAACTATATTTGGCACTTTCCTGTTATCTCTGTACCTACTTTCCTGTTATCTCTGTACCTACTTTCCTGTTATCTCTGTACCTACTTTCCTGTTATCTCTGTACCTGCCCTCTGACCAATTTAACCTGACCTAACCTAAGTTCACCTAACCTATTTTGGGAGGCAGTTAGGTAAAGATAGGTTAGGTCAGGTTATGTTAGTTAAAAGATATTTGTAACTAACATAACCTGACCTAACCTAACTTTACGTTGTGGTATACCATATTTATAACTTCATCAAAAATAGGTTTAGAATAAAGGAAAGGAACATAGTAAAATTATAGAAATTTTGATTTTAACTATTAATGCCAAGCTAACATGAATACAAATGCAATTGAAACATTTTGATGCCTTTATGCAGTAGGATTATCTGGATGTATAATGGCATTGTTGGAAATGGAATTGGTTTGTATATTTGTTAGACTTTGTTTTTTTTCAAGAATTTGGAAAAAAGTTCAAACAACAATCAGCCAGGCTGCGGCTGGGGTGCTTGACACCCTAGTGTAAGGTTGATGTATTTTTGGGTAGTTTGATTTATCTTTTGACAACAGCAGTTTTTTGCAAGCAGTCTTTTGTGCAAGACAACACAGAAGCAACTGATGATTCAATACAGAAATGATTTGCTATTTATGTAATTTCCTTTCCATGGCAATTTTGTCCCTGAGCGTATTATTCTTCTAAAGGATTTCCCCAAGAATTCAGAATCTTGTGGGAACCCAAGCACTAGGTTCCATTGGATCCCCGACTTTCCCAAAGTTCCTCCGTTTTCCTGGTGCCACTCTAATCCCATATTTTAGCTCTATTGATTATTTCAATTTTCAACAGGCATGGGTAATACTCATCACATGCACCATGGTCAAGATCCTAGAAAACCTGGTCCATTGGGGGAAAGGGGGCTACCTGGTGCTTCTGCTATTGTACAAGGGACTGATGGTGGAGACTGTGAAAGTATGATGCAAGATTGTGTCAGTTGTGCAAAATGTTCAGCTGATTGTGCAGACCAGGCTGCTTTGATGAGTCAAGAAGATGCTGAACGTGCAAATTGGCTTGCTGCTGATTACAAAACTGCAGCAGTATAGTAGCTTGTAAAACTGCCAATGAAATTAAACAATCTGCTACTGCTGACATGGATCAATCTGTAACAGGAGATGTTATAAGTTGTGCAGAATGTTCAGCTGATTGTGCAGAGTAGGCTGCTTTGATGAGTCAAGAAGATGCCAAATGTGCAAATCGGCTTGCTGCTGATTACAAAACTGCAGCAGTAGTAGCTTGTAAAACTGCCAATGAAATTAAACTATCTGCTACTGCTGACATGGATCAATCTGTATAACAGGAGATGTTATAAGTTGTGCAGAACATTCAGCTGATGGTGCAGACCAGGCTGCTTTGATGAATCAAGAAGATGCTGCACGTGCAAATTGGCTTGCTGCTGATTATAAAACTGCAGCAGTATACAAAAGGGTCCATACAGCATGAAATGTGCTGGTTGAAATACTGTATTGGTCTTGAAACCTATTTATCCCTAAAAACAGCTCTGGAGAACAACAGCTTTATAGTGGAAGGAGACACATGACAACTTTTTTTGGGGAAACTTTTCATTCAAGACTTATTCTTGTGACCATGTCATGGCTCTTTTGGGACCACAAAATTGCATACCATTGGAAAGGGAATTGAAGAAGCTTTCACTTGGTGTTTCTTCCATTGTTACAGCTTGATTTGCTGCCAAGGTTATTATACAAGTAAAAAATTCGGTCACTTTTTTTTTAACCACCCTGTATATGGCATAGAATGGAAAAAATACAGAATTGTTCTATCTTACTTGCGGTCAATGATTGGTTTGAGAGGAGATCCCCTTTGGAAAGGTAAAGCATTGAAGTTGGGATTGAAGCCTCTGGGTGCCACGTGCATGTTCACCTTTCCTCCCAGTTGTGCTGTCAAGTACTTGAGGGTGTACCTAGCACCAACATATGCCCTGAATGGCGCCTGGACCCATTCAATGCCTTCCCCTGAGGTTGGCACAGTGGCCTTCTCTCCACCAATCGACTCCAGTCTATGCCACAACGTTGAAAGACTGGTTCCTTCATCAGCAAACTGGAGGATAGTCAAAAAAGGAGAGGTACTGTACCTGTATATACTGGCCTGGATAACGGACACAGCAGTGGATGCATTTTATTTCATTTTTTATTTTGCAAAGGACTCATATCATCAGGCAGTCTTCTGATTTTGGTTTAAATTTCTTGAGACACTTGCTGGTTCTACAGATGCAGATACCACATAAATGTATGAAAGATGATTGGCATTCTTCCACCAGACTGCCTGCTGGTGGAAGATGTCATACTAGGGGTGATTCAATATACAGTATACACTATTTTTATACAATTTCAGCATCCCTATATACAGAATTGTATGTGATATCAAAATGTGACAGTATAAAAAATGTTATTTCCAATTTTGATTTAAATTTATTGAGACACTTGCTGGTTGTACAGATGCAGATACAGCATACATTTTTGGAAGACCATCAACATTCAATATGTTCTTAGGTGGAAAATTTAGTACTGGGGATGATCCACTGTAAAGTACATGGTCTACAATCTACATTAATTTCTAACATTCCCTATAGGTGATATACAAATTTGACTGTATAAAAAATGACACATAAGGAATGCCCAGCAAATAATTTGGGCACACATTTATGCTGTGTACCCTACTAGAATGTTATGCCAAAACCATATGCCCAGAGCTTGCCCTTCCATTAAATGTTGTACACATACAAATAAGCTGCTACACATATAAGACAGACCACCTGTACACCCCCTTGTATGCTAGCTTGCTGTGCCCCATGTAGACCAATCATTTTCAACTTTCTGAAGTTTTCCATTTTTTATCAAATATTGCAGGAATAAAGGAAAAAATTCATTGTATGGAAATCAGACTCTTCTGATTAACAGTTGAGTATACCTTGAATATGTCAATGATGATGGTGCCATATTCCAAAGTGAAGGAGAAGCGGGAATCTTGAGCCAGTTCCTCCATGTTGTTCAGCACTGGAGTTAGTCCAGGGTATGCCATATGAGCAGTCAGAGTGCCACTGAAAACAGCTTTGGACAGAATATATTTTCAGTAGTATCAGCTCATTTTATTACATGTGGGGCTATTCAAACTTTTGGTGCCAGGTCCTCATCCTAGGTAGCAAAGTACTCAATGTGGTGCGCACAGTATATCTTGAACATAGCATTAGGGTTACCACAGTAAAAAATTTCTATTCATCAAGAAGCTGTTCTTGATTAATTAAAATTTTCTTTAATGAAACTTGTATTTGGTGGCACAGTATATGTACATGATGTGCCATATGTTGTGCTGACTAAAATCCAACAACCACAAAGAATTTTTTAAACAATTTATATTGAGAAGTGTCCACTGCCAACTCTCAGAGTGATAATAAAGTAATAGCATAAATTACATGTACTTCAACTTCCATTATCCACATGCTAGAGGTGGACATACTTCCCTGAAGATTTCTGTAGGATGATATCTGATATCCAATACAAAAAATTTCCCAGAAGTATTCCATTACTGTACAGTATGTCCTTGAACCGGTATAGATAACTTAAATAAAAAGCATTCTGTCTGCAAGAACAGTGTACATATTACAGTAAATTTCATTTGCATACTATAAATAAAGTACACCTGTCCATGTCTTAAATACAAGTCTGCAAATTAGTTGCAAGTTAATTGATCAGCATCTCTTCCACACACTTTCTAGATAATGAAACTGGTCAACAAAATGTAATGCATGCAAATCCTGAACAAATCAAACTAAAAATATATAAGCAACTCCCCCAATAAACAGCTCAAGCATAGGCCAAAAATTTTTGTAAAATAACGCATAGGCATCAATACTTGCTCTGTCATGCACTATACTAAAGGCAATAATAAATTTCATTAACAAGTTATTATTTCTTGCGGCAAAACATCAAGATTGTCCAGGGAATCGTAAGTGAAATCTTTTGAAAATGTTGAAGAGGAAGAAATTAAATTCAGAGTTGTTTTCCACCTCTGACAAATAAATTTGGCTCTTACCACTCAAAGTGATTGTTGCAAACATGAGGGCCACCCCAAAACACCTGGAGCTGATTCCAGTGGACATTTCATAGTAGTCCAAGTTGAAGTAAAGTCTGAATACTTCAACCATCACCCTGGAAAATGATCTATATGATTTAACTTCAGCAGACACTACTGCCCCAGACTTGTGCTTGTAAGTAAGTGTCTCATCCTCAATAGCTCCAGATAAACGAAACTTGCACTCAAATCTTGCAAGAAAATACAGTCCTATCATGGTCATGACAAAAGATGCAAGGATGCAAAGCCATGCCTGTGTAGAAAAAGTCCAGCATTAGTATCACTCCATCTTTTTTTGTGTTAGAGGAATGACAACTTCTGGCTTACATTTCTGGAAAATGGTTTTACAATGGCCAATGCTCTGCTTCAGCATTAGTATCACTCCATCTTTTTTTGTGTTAGCGGAATGACAACTTCTGGCTTACATTTCTGGAAAATGGTTTTACAATGGCCAATGCTCTGCTAAGTTCTGTGGCTCCAAGGGTGATGAAGGAATAGTCATCCATGTAGTATTGGTCAGAATACTCCACTACTTTCCTCCTAGGGACTGAAATGGCTATTTCAGCAATGGCCATGTCTGCATGTCCCAGTTGCACTGCACCAACCAATCCAGTGAATGTGCCATTTGACAACTCTCTCCCCCATTCACCATCAAGAGGATTATACAAAACATACCTGGAGAGTGCAGCAATAATGGAACAACAAGTAATACTGGGTCTCCCATCTTGAAAACTCTAGCAACTCTTACATTTTTCATGTGAGAATACAGAATATTAGCTTTTAATATGAAGTGAGATATTTTTCAATTATTGTTACTTTTGAATTTTTACAAAGAGTGAGCAAGTTATTTTGCATTGGCCACATAGTTAAAAACAAAACAAAGCAGAAAATGCTTCATAATTGATGTGCAACAGTAAAACAGCTTTCAGTATATTAAAACAGAGCATGCTGAAAGCATGATATACAATAGTTTTGTCTATCCCTGTTCCAGATGAAGAAAAACCTTAAAAGCATACTATTGAAGTCACATCCTTCTTTCCATGCATCAAAAACATTATTTATTTCAAATTTGCTCTTTGGATTAAAACGAGGTCCTATATTAATCCTTTTCAACCATTGGATAGTGGAGGGTTCCTGGGCATCCTGGGGCAAAGTTGGGATTTTTTTGAAGGGAGGGGAATTTGAGTTTGACAAAAGGTTACTGAAATGCCCCCTGGTTGCCAAAGGCCTAGGTTGGGAAAATTCTGAGTACAGGTATCCGCAATAGTAAACCTATGCTGGGAATGCTTAAAACAACTCCACCCAGTGAAAAATGTTTTTTTTGAGGCAGCATTTTCTGCAGGATTATAAGAAATATTCGACTTTTTCCTGACTTATAGGCCTTGGTTCAAACATTTTTTATTTTTTAAGCTCACGCTGGGAACAAAATTTGGCAAAAATATCCCAACGTTCCTGCACAAGGGTTAAATAAAAAAAATTATAATGCACATTTTCAAGGTCCCAACCAAACACTGTAGAGATGCAACAATAATAATACTAGCACTTATAACAAAATCTTACAATTCAATTTTGCAATTCACCAATTGCTTTTTGCAAGATTTACTGTGGCTTTCTTCACAATTACTATGTTTGAAAAACAAATGATTGCAACTCAAGAAATTAATGCTCCCAAAGTTCAACTGTTAAATTTCTTTAATCCTGATGGCAATTGATTTAAGAAAAACTCAACAGTTAAGGAATTGAACTCATATTTTTTTAAACAGAGTAAAAATTTCTCATTTCAATCAGAATGCAGCAACGTTCCAAAGAAATTTGGAATCTGAGACATTTTGTGTGAGAAGATTGCACATGTACTTTAAGAAAGTCATATGTTTACAATATTATTTTTCACTTAATAAATATCTCACATTATAACTCGAGTCCAATGAAGACAATAATGCAACATGACAATTCAAATTTACTGATGATTGACCTTTCTAGAGAAAATAGTATGAACGAGATTCTTTTTAAACTTACGTGAAGTTGAGGTGGTAAGCCAGGGCATTCAGAAGCTCAACATCATTTCCTTCCCCAGGAAGAGGTTCATGAGATAAAAGGGTACTAGCTAATAACCCAAACCATGGGTAGTCATCCAAGGTGGCAACCACAATTTCCCTACCATTCTGGTTCATCTGGGATTCCACAGGATCAAGAAAACATGCCTCAAGGGCATCAGCTCTTGCTTCATTTGTACCCAAACCCAAAAGTCCATCTGCAGAACTTGGAATATTTGCTCTGACATGATGAGTCAATCCTTCAATTTCCTCCTGTGCTCTCCTCACACCATGTTGGAAAATGTGTCTCAAGCAAAACACTGGGCTGTGATGATTTATGATCTGTGGCACAAAGGCCATGTTCCATTTCTCTGAAGTGGCCTGTTGCAGGGCTCTGAAGAAGTCTGAGGAAATGTGTGTATTTTGGTTGACCATCACTACCCAATTGTATTTCCAGGAGTCCAGATGATGCTTGCTGACCTGCAAAAATAAGGGGCACATCTTCACATTGAAATATCAGCTTTTGAGGAGTTATTGAGGACTGAGTACACCATAAGAAAATCCTTGAATAAGAACAGGTATTATGTATGAGTAAGGCATTACAAAAATATGACACTTCTCTTACACCAATTTTAGCAAGTTTCCTTGGAGATACCTGAGTATCAAACACTATATACAGCATTAAGTCTGATAACTTGCCACAATAAATAATATAAACACTACTTTTATTAGCTGCTGTAATAATAAGGGTTTTCTAAGATATATCTGCTGAGTTTACCACATAAATTTTTTATATCAGATG